CTCTCTCTCTTTCCAGGGTTTATAAGAACAGCATTACGAACCATCTCTATAACGCCAACAACGCTCAAATTTTTAACCTATCTTCAAGTCGACCTCGCCCCTACGACATCACAGAAGTGAGCTTTCAATACTTGCGACTAGTATGGAAGCTGTTTCGCCCAGTCTTCGGGTGGTCGAAAAGTCATGCTCAACTCGCCGACTTTAACGACCCCGACTTCATACACCGAACCTCAGAGGGTCTTCAGTGGATGGAACAATCTCACCTCCTCACCAATGACTCCTTGTACATGGACGGCAAACGCCCCCGCTTTGTACAAGGCTCACCAGACGAACGGCCAAGAGTGCTCTGTGATGCGATTGTGAGAACTCTGTTTACTTACAACCAACTGGCTGGTATACGAGCTTTACGTTACTTATCCCGCGCGAACGGAGACCTGTCCATTCTAGGTCAGGGTCACGGAATGATACGGAACCTGATCACGTCCACCTACAATGGGAGGCTAGGGTGGAACGGCATCATACAGGACCACTGCGACCGCTTCAGTAATTGCACCCAAGACATGCAAATCTTCAAAGGGCTTCCATTCCTTGATATCAAGGACTTTTGTGAAATACTGGACTATGTGGGGCCAGATGTTCAAGACTTTCATCACAAGAACTGTTCAAGTTACCGATTGTGGATCAGACGGAACGCAGCTGCCGCCTATGGAACAATCGATCAACTTGGAGATTTTGGCTCCTACTGGGGCTCAGATCCATTGAACCACGTCGAGCAGCTTCGATCTATCGAAACGCAAGTCGCAGGGCTATCCGTTATGCTCGTTTCGGTATGGTTCGAGAGGAACTTCTAAAGGAGGCCACTGAGCTATATCAGTTCGCGGGACCTTAGGTGTACTGTACCAAGCCAGGCTGTTCGATTCTTTGGTTTGCCTCAGGATCGCAATCTATCAGCGACAACCTGCAAATCTTTATCTCCTTTCCCGTCGAGACAAATAACTAAGGTCTCCTCCAATTTCATGCTCCTAGCCATCTTCATGCCGGCCCATATAGCATGACTCGTTTCTAAAGAAGGAATGATCCCTTCCACTTGTGCCATCGTTTGGAAGGCGACAAGCGCCTGCTCATCTGTGACAGTGATGAAGCTAGCCCTGGCACTGTCTTTCCAGTACGCCAGTTCCGGTCCCACTCCCGGACAGTCCAGCCCAGCCGCGATCGAAGACGAAGTGTTGATTTGCCCATGGTCATCCTGCATGAGGTATGTCATTGCACCGTGGTAGATGCCGACCGCACCACTGGCCAAGGCCGCAGAGTGTCTGGTGGTGTCGATGCCATTGCCAGCAGCCTCGACGCCGACGAGATTCACGTCGGGATCCGACCTGAACGGAAAGAACATGCCAACAGAGTTGGATGCTCCGGCACAAGCGACCACTGCACAAGGTAAGCGACCAGTGAGGTTCTTCATTTGATCTTTGGTCTCCTGTCCGATCACGCTCTGGAACGTGCGCACCATGATTGGATAAGGATGAGGTCCAATGCTGGATCCTATCGCGTAGAAGGACCTATCCAGGTCGTGAATGCTGACTCTTAGAGCTTCATTCATCGCATCACGCAGCGTACCGGCACGTCTGCCGACTACCACGACTTCTGCGCCTAGTATTTTCATGTCGACCACATTGACGCTTTGTCGTCGTGCATCTGTAACGCCCATGTAGACAGTACAATCAAGAGCGAGCTTTGAGCACACAGCAGCCATCGCAACACCATGCTGTCCGGATCCCGTCTGCGTGATCAAGCGCCGTTTCCCTAGCCTTCTAGCCAACAAGGCCTGACCAAGGGCATTGTTGATGGCCGAGCTCCCCGTATGGTTGAGATCTTCTCGTTTGAGGTATATTTGTGCACCGCCCGCTTGTTGAGTGAGTCTATGGGCGTGATGAAGCGGTGAAGGTCGTCCCACGTACGCGGAGAAAGCCCTCCATTCCTTCCAAAAATCCGCGTCCTCTTTGGCTTGCACGAATGCTTCTTCAAGTTTGATCAAGGACTCTTTCAATGCTTCCGGAACATATTGACCGCCAAATTGGCCAAAACGGCCCGAAGCTTCACCCGTACGGTTCTCATTGGAGTTCGATTTGTGAGACTCGAGATATGGTACATTATCGTTGCCCTCCATGAAAGTATAGGGTGAAGTAAGGATAGGCCGTGCTCTTAATTCTTGGTGATACTTATACTTCCGTAGAGTCTGAGTAAAACAGGCTTTGTTGCAACCTGGTTGACGTTACAAACGCGTGATGAAGGCTTCATATAGGCCCGGCAAGGCGTCATCGGTGAGGAATTGTGGTGATGTACGTGGCGAGAGCTCAATGACATGGTGTGGCTATGGCGTGCATTGCAGGGATGAAAAAGGATTTCACAAGGAATAAGATAGAGAATGACACTATTGGACCATCTGGGTCTTGTGCTTGTCCTTACAAGATGAACTATTCTACCACCCCAACTCCTTTGTCATTCTTTTCTCTTTCCGACATGCTTCCAACTGAACGAAATAAACAACCTTTGTTCCACTGCCGCCGCAACCTAGAATCCTATCTCAGTGGCCAAAAACCTAGTCACGGCATTTAGCCATGGCTTAGAGTTCTGTTTGCCCTGGCCGCACATGCGGCCAGACATTCTTGCGGGCCGGAGTTGGCACCCGTCCCTGGATCAGGCACCTTGCCGTCGATATCACTGACGTTGACTCCTCCGCCCATGACGGTACCGGAGATGTTCTGTGGAAGACTGAAGAAGGAGTTAGCTACGTTCAGGGTACCAGTATCATCGCTGTTCAAGGCCGAGATGAGCTGGGCATTGTCACATCCAATGTTCATCATCGTATGGATGGACCCTTCTGGGAAGATGGTCATCTGGCCGGACCGGAGAGTGGCTTGAACCGTTCGAGCCCCATTTTCATTGATCATGTAGGTTTGAGTGGTGCCGGAGATCGCTACCACAAAGTTGGCTCCACGTGGATGAAGATGAGGTGGCAGCATCGCACAAGGACCGAGATTAAGCACTGCCTGTTCACCACATCAGACAGGAGACCGACCATGATGTCAACGATCAACTGAGAGCTTACCAGGGTCAAGCCGAGACCGACAGTTGCAGGAAAGGTCGCCGCGTTGGCATTGATCACGCCCCCCGGCGAAAAGGTGTATTTGTCCTGCTTCGTGAAATCGAACACCCAGTCGTCGTCCTTGGGAAGGAGTTTCAATCGATCCAGATTCGTATTGGCAAGCCGGAGCTTGGCGACGAGGCCCGGGTCTTTGTCCTTGTCCACGGCCAGTGCCAAGGAGGCAAGGACAACTAACACAATGAAACCGAGTCCGAAAAATGCCATGATGTAAGGTCTCCGATCTCCTAACCTTTGCAATCGAGATTGACGAGGTTTCTCGGACTGGGTTGAGTTTGACTCCTGAGATGGAGGAGGTACAGATTGCTCGGCCTTGTATCGGTGCGACTTCTCCAAAGCGATCTTTCTGCCTTCTTCCGTTAGGTCGTTGAAGCGAACAATGGTGTTTTTATCCAGCTGAGCAGTCTTCTTGGTTCTGCCCTTCGAGGACTGAGATCTTGTTGTGGCCTTGTTGGTGAAAGTGATGGGCGTGACCATGTCGAGGGTCAGTTGATATAGGGGTACTACAACTGAAGGGCAAAGCAATGCTATAATACGAGATTCACTAATCGTCCTCACTGGACCGTATACTGTCCATCACCCGGTCTGACCTACTTGTGGATGTCTCGGCCACCAACTCAATTCCAAATCAAAACGGGATCCACCCAGTGGAGGGCTGAGTATTCCTTGTGAGAGTATTTGTCACATTGACACACTGTAGGAGCCCACAGTGCCTCCGGGACCTGCTTCAGTAATCTATTGATCGAGGTCCCAAAATAGCCCAGGTAAGACTCTAAAATACAGTGAATTGCGAAACCAACTTCCGTGTATTGTAACCTATCCTATTCTTTGCTGTTTGGTTTCGGTGAAGACACTATGTCTTAACACTTACAGTACTGCATATGGTTTATGGTGAGCATCCTTGTACAATTAGGCTGAGGACGTAAGGGTTTCAAGCTCTTTCATACCGTGTATTCACGTATTTTTGGTTGTTGGCCCAGATAATTTCGTTCAATGGTGGTGGTTCCTTCTATATAATTACACAGGTCTGCAGCCAAGTTCCCGGCCGACTTCAATTTGTCTCGTGATGTCAATATTGTCTAACAGCAAGTATCAGGGTACAATATAACATGCCTACCCATTCAGACGGCTATCTCCTATCCCGCAACTTCAACGCTTCATCCAGGTTGACCGCCCAGCACCTCCTTATTCGTCGGAGAACCGAATCTTTACTTGACTCTCGCATCGCAATCGGCAGGACACGAGACCCGGAACACCCGTTCGTGATTGCTGACATTGGATGTGGAAACGGTATATGGACCATCGAGTTATCACAATCAAGTAATTGTCAGATTGTGGGACTGGACAGCTCATCAGATCTATTTCCACCCGATGACATATGGCCACACAACTGCACTTTCGACACCTTCGACGTCCTCGCTCCAGTGGAGAGAAAGTACGTCGGGGAATTTGATATCATCAACATTCGATTATTGGCGGGTGGTCTGAGCCGTAATGACTCAGATCGAGTTCTCACCAATTTGAAGCTCATGCTACGCGAGGGTGGATGGCTTCAGTGGCTTGAAATTGCGCCGCCATACATCCTCACCTACGCAAGAGAGGCAAATCACAATTTACCCGTTTCGATTCGCTACGAAATGCCACGAGTCGTTCAGTCATTGGAATGGTTAGGTCACTTACCGGACTTGCTGAAAGAGACGGGTTTTACACATGTGGAAAGCAGCAGAACTCCACCACAAGGCGCACTCCTCAAGCATGAGACCAACAATGTACTACTAGCATTGTCAGAGATACGCGATCATCTTGTTTATTGCCCAGATCGCGTGGGTAGATTCGAACGAGCTTTTGACGAGGTCTGCAAGTTCGTTGCCGAAGGAGGATTGGTCGCTGTAGCTCTCTGCACCACTATTGCGCAGAAGCCTTAGATGTGAGGGTATATACCGTATATTCTTTGCGTAACACGTAATGTAAGATGCTGTAAATCGGACACAGCGTGGGACCGTAACATACTATGTCACTCGCTGGTGAAGGTCAAGTTTCCAATTGGCTGAAATGGGCGATTATGTAATGTTTGTGCGGCATGAAACGGAAGACCAATCGGCAGCAATCGCTGAAACTTCCGCAATTCAATCAAATCCAGTCATTGGGCACGAATCCTACCCCAGCGTTTATATTCTGCGCGTATGATTCTCTCATCCTTTAATCTTCTGGTGTTCTACTGTATCATTATTGTCCATAATTTGTATTCGCCGGCACGTCATCTGTTCCTAGCCATGCCGCCCCCTATGAGCTTGCCGCCTGACGTCTTACAGACTATACCGTGGGAAGAATCGGACCTCAGTTCAGTTGTACTGACCTGTCGCTTGTTTCATCAGCTTTTTACGCCTCGGCTTTATGACAACTTTACAGCAGAAGCGGATTATCTCGACTTGCGATATCCTGGCTTAGATTTCCCAGAATTTCTCTTTCTCCGAACGATACGAAACTGCCCTACGCTGGCATCCTTTGTCCAGGATCTCTCTCTCACCCTTGTAGGGTTGAGCTATTGGGATCACGAAGATTTTCGGCGGGTGGCGCGTGATCTTGAGATCGCAGCCGATTTTCATACAGTCGCACTTCCGGCCGGTCCGAGCGCTCAAACCCCGACCGAGGACATGGTACTGGGAAAGCAAGAATCAGCCATTCACCAAGAAGGTGTAGGAGAACCCTTGAGCGAGAGGCATGGTTCCGATCGAGATGCTGAAGGTAATATGTACAGCGAGGAGCAATTCTTGGAGGACTTTGGGTGTGCTCTCTTGTCAAAACTACCTCAACTCCGGCGCCTGACACTAATGTACGATCGAATGAGACTCTTTGACCGCTTCGCACACTTTGCGTATCTGGAGGAAGTCAATATTGATTCGGCGCGTATCCCGGTCCGAGCTGCCGGCAACGAGCTGTTCGAAGACGCCGTGAGGCTTCTCGGCCTCCCCAAGATCCGAAAATGGTCGCTGTCCTGTGCGGAGGTCTCTGAGTCCGCAATACGATGTATTCCGCCACAGTCCTCACCAGTGCAAGAAATCAGCATATCCTGCCCCAACATCCCAGCCCGAGATTTTCATTACTTGATGGCTATCCCGAAGGCTTTGAAGGTGTTTCGTTGGAATTTAAAAGCCTGGACATGTTACCTCATGTCGGAGGGCACTCTACCGGTCCATGAACAGTGGATGGAGGCGGGACGAGAAGTTGACGACAGCGACCCAGATTCTGGTAATCATCACGAAGACATTGTCGACAGCGCTGAGAGTGAAGGGCATACGGAGTGCCAAACGCTCTCCCCAGCCTCGATGTTTTCGTCCTTGAGGCATCTACAGACAAGCCTCGAGGAAATCAGCGTTGAGTATGCTTTTATCGGAAGCTGTAGTCATGCAGATCCTGGGCCGTCTTCTCTGGACGACTTTACCAATTTGAAGAAACTCAGTATTTCACCCCAGATACTGCGGGGATTCCACGGATGTACCGACCAAGAAACATGCGCAACTGAGTGCACCCACTTACACCCTCCACGCCGAGCTGTGGATCACCTTCCACCTAACCTGGAGCGACTCGACCTCTGGATGCAGGTGGACGCAGATGAGGTTGCCGATCTAGTCACCCATACGCTGAACGTAGGTATCTCCACGCTCCGAGAGATCGTCCTCCACAGCACCATCCACCTTGCCGACGAACTGGAGATCGAAGATGACAGTGCTAGAAAGCATCGTCCGATGACGACTAAGAGGTACTACGAGCTTCGTGCGGAATGTGACTCGTCGAAAGTGGCTCTGCTCTCATGTTGCTATGAGGCTTGTCTGGAGGAACTTGTCCAAAGTGCCAAATGTCGTGTTCATTCAGATCAAATCCCATCAGACATGGCCGTGGACGAGAGGGCTGCTGCACAAAGCTGGCAGGGAATGCATCCGATAGCGCAGAATCTGATGACATTGAAGGCGCTAAGTCGCTCAAATCAATCGGAGTTGCCGGCGTGAGAACGGAATTGTCGAGGAGGCTTTGGCGCGCGCGGAATATAAGCGAGAACTCCTTGTCACAAACTCATAGAACTAGGTGTTTCAGATGACATCGGTATTGTAATTTGATTATACAAGTATAGCTACGGGTGGGAGTGGCGAGCCACGTTCTTTCAAATCCAAATGTCGAAGTCTCTGAGCTTGTGGCGAAAACAGTCGGAGAGTTCCAGAAGCCGTGATCATCAGTAGATGTCACTTACGATTATTGCAGAGGGTTCGACCGGCGGAGGAAAGGTCGTAGAGTTCGGTAAGGCGCCGAAGGGGGCTGGGCAATTCTCGGAGTCGTGATTGTTGGGCGATGTCATTCTCGTACAGTACAGAGGGTTCGACCGGCTGAGGAAGGCTCGCACAGTTTGGCAAGCCGCGAGGACAGTATGGGATAGGGCGAGGATTGGAAGACTGTATAGGTCTCGGAGTAACCTCCATGAATGAGGAGCTTTGCCGTCCACAGGCGTCTGTGAGTCTCAGAGACCATTCTCCATCACCCTCCTTTCCTAATGTCGGCCAATCCAGCTCTGCTAGACGTGGAAGATATTTTGGCTTCTTGTGATGCTCATCGGAGTGGCTCAAACATTTGTTAGAGAGAAAATGGCTTGACACCCGACCACGGCTGTCGGATCGTTGGGCCAGTGCAAGCATAGTCGTGTCCTTGGCGCCGAGATACTGTCCCATGGTGGGCACAGGAGTAGGCCGGGCTTTCACCCGTCGAGGACCTGAATCGTATCCTTCACACGATAATTTGAGACGAACGCAATTAACACCTGCCAGCGGGGTCAGAACTATATACGTACCGTGTTATGCCCGACGAGAAGGGTAACTACTCACATGACGGACGACCTTCGTCGCATTTTTTCCTTCTTCTGCGACAGGAGAGGCAACCGCTTCTGGTGCGAGTGAACAATCCTTTTCTTTTCGCCTTGTCGTGTGAGATACGCACTTGATGTACGGATAGATCACTGACCACAGATGCTGGGCCGACCTGCTTGATATCAGGAGTGCCGGTGTGGCTCGAGGACGTAACCTCTTTGCTCTGTGACCCTTGAGAGGTGTCAAGAAACTCGGGCTGAGGGATGCTTTCCAAGGAATTCTGACGTGCATCACCGAGCCGATCAAAGCTTTGTTGTGAAGATGCAGGCGAGTGATGAGGCAGGGGCGGTGGACTACATCGAGACAAGCCACCAGCATCAGCACCATCAGATTCTGCCGGTGAGTTTGGTTCCTTGGAGAGAAGAAGACCGCCGCCACCACCATCTCGTTTAAAATTCTGCTCACAAGGCGCTTCGACAACCTCCAGCGATTTTGATGGTGTTACATGGTGTGCGTATGCCATTTCCCGAACACTGGTTTCGTGGACTTCTGATGGATAGCATTGACATTGACGTAGTTGCTGTACACGATGCCTGAGTCCCTGCCGGCCTTTCTTTCTGGTGGTGCCGATCCGACCATATTTTGACCACAACTTTAACAAATCTTCTTCGGGGAGGTGGCTCTCGGGTTCCCAAGTCATATGCTTTATACCGTAGCCTTTCCATTTTACGTGATACAGTACTGTCTTCTTCCCTCGACGATCTGTCCTGATGCCTGCGGCACCGATAAAATCGTATGGGAGTACGTTATCATCATCTTGTTCAGAAGGCTGGTCTGGTGGTTCACAAAATGTGTCATCCTCCTGAATGGTGTTTACAAATTGCTGTACAACTCGAATGCGTTTGCCTTTAGGCCGGTAAGCCATTAAGGAATACCCTTCAGCGGATACCCCATCTATGCTGTCGTTCATCCTGGCAGAAGGGTGATATCGAGAAAGACCTTCGAGAAACTTGGTCAGGGAGGTGCTTTATGATGGATTTTAGTTGTCACGTGCAATTATTCCAAGGGCGGCAAGCACTCCAATTAGGTGCCAGCTGGTAGCGCTAATGATAAAATTGTCGTTCTGTCAACCGCCATCCGCAATCAGGGCATGTGGATGCGGTGGTCCTTCTGGTTCCGCTCCCGTCTACCAGCAATCACTACACCGAGAACCACTTCTGCGCGGCCCGCCTTCACGAGGTCCACCTGCGGTTCGTCTGTGCCTAGGTTGAAACACTATCTGTTCAGGATGTATGGTTGGCGGGTCAGGGTCAAGGCCGAGCTATCCAGATCATAGACAGTCCCAGCAGGGCCAAACGAACTTAGGACCTGTTAAGGCGGCCCAGCGACAAGTTTCCCCTACGAACGCAAAACGAAAATCGTGTGGCCTAGCCTCGTACTGTACTGCCTGCAGTAAACTTTTCGGCGAGGTTCGAATGATCCACAGATGTGATTCGCACACAATAATAGTCCATCCTAATAATAACTGCCCTATGTCTGGTGCAATCTTGAATCCATTTTTAGAATCTATAGCACATAAGTCACAAGAGTACTGTATATAACATTGAGGGCAAGATTCTATGCAGTATTTCAGAGGCACCAAAAGCAAAAATGACTCTCTTCGCTGGTTTATGTCTATTGCTTTGTACCTTAAACCTGGTCAATTGCCACACCTGGATCGAGCAATTGTCTCTGGTGGACCAGAATGGTCAGCCCGTGGGTGATCCCGGCTTCATTCGCGGCTATGGTAAAAGAGCACTATAAAGCCAAGCAGTTGGAATATACGCTGACAGGAAATAATTAGTGCCAAGAACCACACCTGGATTTGTCGATGGAGACAACACGTATCTTCTCCCCCAAGCACCGGCATTAACTTTTCAAGACTCAGATCTGATGTGCAAGTTGACTCAGGCGCAGGGTAATCAAAGCGGGGGACCCATCTTGATGGCCCCGCAAGGTAGTGCTGTTCTTCTGCGATACCTAGAGAATGGCCACATCACCCAGCCAGACGTTCCTCCGAACAAGCCCACATCGGGCCAAGTCTCGGTGTATGCCACCACCCAAGCCCGGGATGATGACAAATTTACCGCTATTCATGGCCAATGGACAGCTGATAAGACTGGAGGTGACCAACGTGGCTTTCTGTTGGTAG